GAAATGTAGCAGCCCTGTGAGAACTACTTTCTCCCCCTCCCACACAGCTACCACTGACATGGTGAGCCCCTTTACGCAGCCTCACAAGCCAGGCAGTAGATTGTGAATATTATATAATGTCCTTAGAGAGGGAATTTTGAGTTCATAAATATTCTGTCATCAGAAACTCAGTCCTCAGAGTTCACATTCCTCTGAGCAGAAGACAGAAACTGGTCCTCTGATCTATACACCCAGTCCAAATTAACCCAACTGTTCTCTGTGGCCAAAGGGATCAGGACTAGGAGCAATGGCCTCAAGCTGCAGCAGAGGAAATTCAGTTTGGAGAATAGGAAGAACTTTATGACTATAAAGGTGGTCAAGTATTGGAACAGGCTACCTAGAGAAGTTCCAGAATCTCCATCTCTAGAAATTTTCAAGAGCAGATTACACAGACAATTGGCTGGGATGATTTAGTCAGGGATGATCCTGCCCTGAGTGGGCTGAACTAAATGATCTCATGAGGTCCCTCCCAGCCCTACTTTCCTATGATGTTATGAACAGCACTCACATAATGAAGGGCATGCAATAAGCTGCCCTTGAGTAGGGACCTACTTAATTCCGAGTTTTGCGGATTCTGATGAACCTGCGAAATCCAGGATTGTCCTCAAAAAATCTGTGAAATCAAGAAAAAAAACCTTAATTTAAAAAAAATGCTAGCTCCCCGGTGGGAGAATCACTCTGACCACAATGAGTAGCATAGTGACATCTATGAAATCCTAGGATGTCATGGGTTTGCTACACTAACATGAGTGAGATTTGGACTCCTGCAAAACTCATGCACTTAAGAATATATTTTTCTTAACTGGAAGGGTATGCAATGAACTGTGGCTCTATATCACTGCCTTCTGCAGGATAGACTTTAAACTACTCAGCTGAATGTCTTAGACCTTACTAGCTCACAGCTCATGGAGAAACTCCTGTTGCTCAAGGGATAAGCTCCAGTGCAACTGGGAGATGGGAGGATCTGAGCTCTGTTTCTGTTCATTTTAGAGCAGCCATGGTGTTCAGTCAAGTGAGAAATGTGAAGCTCCTGGAGCCTGTGGCTTATTTGTTAGTGTATGTTTTATTGAACGATGTACTGTAACTTAGAGGCATGTCTTTGAGCCAAATTCCACCCTGATGTAGCTCCACTGACTTCAGTTTTACATTAGGAATTAATTTGGCCCTTTCAGATTTTGGGGCAATGAGCTGACATTGTTGTCTGGGTAGCACCTGTAGCACTTTGTGTGTGTATGCATGCAGCCTCAGAAGCCTACTGTTTTTTCTTTGGCTATATCCCTCCAGTGTCTATTTTTGGGGGGAGTCACAACCAGAGATATCATGCAAACAAGGAGGAGCATAGGAAAATACATTCTTTATTATTCTTCTGTAACAACAAGCCAGAAATATAATATACCTTTTAAAAATCTTCTGTCTCTTGCCAAAGGAACCTCCGTTCAACCATTTTAGAAAATCTTGTCACTCTCCCTCAAATATTAATGAAAAAGAAAAGAGATTGCATGTGCCATCTGCTCCCTGCAGGAAGACCGCTGGGGGGAGGAGGAGCTGGACCTGGGAAGCCCATTACCAGGGGGTGCTGGTTGGACCTGGCTGCAGCAGGGTAACACTCTTCCTGAAGGCACCCATCTGCATGGAGGATGGTATGGCTGCCTTCACTGGAGGGACAAAGCTGGCAAGGTTCTCTAAGAGAAGCCATTCTGTGCCTGCTTGCAGAGGAGTGGAGCCCACTGCCCAGATACATGAGAGCAGCCCATTTACTGAGCACCCAAACAGCCCTGTGCTATGCAGTAGGCTAGACATCCTTCCCACTATGAGGTGAGCTTAATTTCTGGCTATGTTGGAGGACCATGTTTCCCAGAAGTGCCTCGTGGCTGTGGAGAAACCTGCATCTCAGCAAAGCCAGTGTTCCCAGTGTGGCAGGTCAATACAGAAGTACCCGTTCCCTAGCTGGGGTGTAAGGGCCTGTTGCATTGTTCAGCCCAGAAGGGCTCACAGCACCAGTCCTTGTTTTCAGTCACCCATTGTCTTTCTATGCATTTGCATTTCTTTGGGACCCAGCAGTGTTCAGCCCTTACTTTTCTCAAATGCTTCTCATGTTCTCCCCTGCCCTTCCCTGCCTCTCCTGTTTCTGAGTGGTTTCTAATCCTGGAAGTCCCAATCTAGTGTTCACCAAGTCATTTGCCATGCCAGTGAGAAATAACAGGAGGTGAGGTTTAAGGTTACAATCAAACCCACAGCATAGGAAATGCAAAACTCTTACCAGCAAAAAAGGAACAATTGTCCAGGACAGGAGAGAGGGAGGGGGGATTTTTGCCTTTTCCAAACCTCCTCACCCCACCTTTTATTCACACACACTCATGCACTCACACATACCCCATTTGCTTTGTGCAATTGCTTGATCATTATTTGTTACAAGTAAAATATAGATCTATAAATATACAGCTCTGACTCAAGTTCCATTTCAAATATGACTGTGGAGTCCAGTGCGTTACATGGTAAGTTCCCTCAGGAAGTTGGGTCCATCGGGCAGAATCTAGTCCTGACTTACTGAGGATATGGAGCTGCAGTAACACTTTTCCTGGCAAGAGAAGACTGTAGCACACCAGTTCTGCCCCTCAGAGTGGGCTACAGCTGAAGCAGAGGGTTGGGTGGGGTGATGGCAGGGTTACACAATGCATAGAGGAGAATAAGTCCCCATTTGCTCCATAGTGTTTCCACTTACCCTTCCATACACAGCACATGGAAAGGGATGGGGATTTTAATCTGCCTCTCTCCTTCCTACTCCATGGTAACCTCCTTTCTGCTTCATGGGGAACATTCGCCTCTGTTTCTTCATCCCCTCAGGAAAAGGAAATCAAATTGAACTTGTCTGGGGTTGTTCCAGCTCTTTGGATCTGGTGGCTCTAGGCTGGGTAGAATGAATTCAGCCACTCCAAACTGTATATAAATACTTGGTAGTGCTCTTGCTTTGACAGCATGATAGGGGCCACAAGGAATTGACATAGAATATGTGTTATTTCCACTGGAATCCAAGAGCAGGTCAGGGACAGACAGCAAACCACTGGATGGCATCAGGAAACAATAGGAAAAGGAAGGAAGGGCTGTGACCTGCCTATGCCCAGGTGCGGTAATTGCTGGTCTCTGTGTCTGGTTTACTGGAGAAATACCCTGCAAGTCTGGGCTAGCTGCCAGAGCATGTCATGACTGGAAGGATCACACCATCCACAAACATTGCGACTGCATGACCTCTGGTGTCATCTTCCTATCCAAGGAATACCCACTGTGACGGGTTAGAGCAGGTTACCATGGCAATCCGCACTCTCCCCTGGAGACAGCATTTTATCCCACTTCCAATGATATAAAATGAGTCCTTATGTTTGGTTTCTTTTTGCTTTTTTTAAATCAGTTTGAAAAGAGCTGAAGCAAAAATGAGACTCTGTGAGTTCTAAAATCTGGCTTGGGAAGAGTTTTCCTAAGTGACAGAGTCTGTGCATGCTTGTGCCTGTGAGTACATGCATGTGCTTGCTTATACGTTCTTCAGTACATTTGTGTACACGTGTGTGGAGAGCCTTGTATTTGTACAAGTTGTATAAGTGCCTGTGTGCAGCTGTGGCAGTGAACACATCTGTGTCAATGGGGCATGTTGACCCCATCACCCATCTCCTTGAACCTCTGCCTGGCTTCCCCTTGTCTATCACATGAGGTACTAGTTTCCTGTCCTCCCCACATGGCCTTCCATACCTCAGCCTCTCTGTACTAATCACAGTGCCCCTTCCTCATGCCACTTCCTTTGGCTAGGCAAGGCAGCTGTTGTGCGTATCCTCCCTCCCTGCTCTTCTCCTCATTGTCCCAACACATGGAATATGCATCCTGAGTTGGTCAGTCAGGTCCTTGTTTAAATCCCTCCTGATGGCCCACTTCCTCTGCCACATCTACTAGACACTGGTGGACCAAGTCGTCTCTAGTTACCTCACAGAAACATAACATGGATACAAAAACATGTTTTGTCTTTATCATACTGTGCATGAGTCTTCGCTAAGCAATGCTGCAAGTTGCCTGGCACTGACTCTGCCCTTCCCCTCCCTGCCATCTGTGCCATGTCTGAAATCTCTCTGTGAGCCCCCTGGGGTGGGGAACATGTCTTTTGCCTGGATTCAGAGGTGCCAGGAACACTCCTAGGCACTGTTAAGTAATCTATGCATTATTATTGTGTATATGTGCAAGCAAGTAAATGTGGGCAGTCAGTGTACATGCAATGCTGTCTGTAGGCACAGGTGCATGACTGGCAGTGTGTGGGCTCAGTGTTTGCTAGGGGGGAATGGATGGAGCCTGTACTCACAGATCTTGAGTTAGGGGGCTGTATATGCCTCTTTCCAGCAGTGGACATAGTAAGGGGAATCTCCCTCTGACCCTGTTTCTCTCTCAGTGGACTCTTCATCAGGTTCTCCTTAAATGTGTAGGTGGTGGGGAGTACATTACCATGATGTGACAGCATGCACTGTGAGACGTATGCACTTGCCCTGGCATCTTGCTCATCGTATTGGGAATTTGTGCCCCACAGCTGCCTGCTTGTCTTGCCTGTGGAGGGAGGGTGCTGCAGAGCCATGTGGAATTTTGGATGGAGTAGAGAGTGAAGCAGAGATGATGAGGTCAGGATGACGGGCTCTTGGAAAGTGCTGGTTGTCCATGTAGCGACTGTCCAAGGGGTACTCCATGCAAGCAGAAAGCATGGCAAGAACTTGAGGTCTGATCACAGTTTCACTTGGGAGACCAGGAAGGTAGAAGGATACAAAGAGGCCTGATGCAGAGAAATGGAAATTAGAGCCAGGTGTCCTAACCCCAGAGACATGTTGCACTAGCCAGATGAGTGAAGCAACAGCACAGTCTGTCTGGGATGGCATACTGTCAGAGGATCCAGGCCTCACTGCACTCAAGTGCCCTGCTCACTCCTGTCCCTGGTTTCCAAGAAGAGTTTCATGCCACTGAGGAGATTTGCTTTTGCTCTTCATGTTCACCCTCTGTGTCGCTCATTAGCGGCTGTCTCTTCTTCAGCTCTCGGTGGTACTTGGCCATGAGGGAGGCATAAATGCAGCCGTAGGCTGCTGCCACTACCATCATGATACACACAATGCCACACACAACCCCTGCTATGATCACAGTGCCAATGGCCCGGCGTACGCTAACAGGACGGTATCTCTGTTTCTGGGGACATACAACACTGGGTTCCACTTCTGGTTCTGGGCCTGATTTGGTTTTTGAAGGAGTTGGGCTTCCTTTAGTGCACGGTGGGCCAGGATTGTCCAGCACAATTGAGCTGTTCTCATCCTCCAGCTGAGAACAGTAGTTGAACATCTCCATGGGGACCATTCGCATGTCCTTCCCCCGTAGCTCCTTAGGCAGGGTACATGCCAGCTGGTCTATCTTCCCTCCTGCCCCAACAGAGAAAAAGGGGTGATTTACAGCTGAGTGCCAAACAGAGCTAGTTTCAGTGCAATAAGTTTTGTTATTACAGTGTCATCATTGAGCACTTAGATGCACAGAGCTAGATCTGGTGTAAGTCAGTTTAACTGTTTATACCAGTTGAGTATCTGGAGCTAGGCCTTGCTATACTTATGAGGCTAAAATCTGACCCCTATTGCATGAATGCACAGTGAAGTGTGGATGGGATCCAGGGAACCCTTCCATACCCCAAGAGGCAGCCAGAATCCAGCAGTTTGTATTCCCAGTAGGCCTGGGTGGGAAAGGGGTGTATGGAGTCACAACTTGGCCATTGGTCTCATATACTCTAGAGTTGGCAGGATGGAGACATGGCCTTATTCCATTCACTTTCAGTCTGGTTAGAGGTTGCAGTCATAGCTTGAGGAGTATGTGGTTCTGGTCTTCCAGCCTGGGAAGCATTCTGTCACTGGAGGCCAGATGGCTGCAACTGCTGCCACTGGAGGTTGCAGTATGCCACCATTCTCCCTTATGTAGACAAGACTCCAAAAGCTACATTAATGCCTCTGATACATATAGTGTGTACATAGTAATGCTTTATAACTTACCATCCAATTATATTAAAGTATGTTAAAGCATAAGTTAAATAAGCCTAATACCTCTAGGTATTATTAGTCCCATTTTGCAGTTTGGGGCCTACAGAATGACAGGGGCAAGTCTCAACTTATCAGCATGGCAATAGCTGTGTTTGAGTTGCTGATCTCAAATCTTAGCTCTCCCATTGACTTGCTGTGACAAAGCCTAGATCAGAAACACATGCTAAACCTCCCATTCCCATGTTCCAATCTAATAACTTGTTTGTACCCCCATACTTTGATAACCTTGAGTGAAAATGCTAAACCAGGCACTTCACTGTGCTAATGCCATTGCTTTGGAAGAAAGACTATCGAGTATATTCTGTGTGCTGGTAACCTTCACATCAAAGAATAAAAAAATGAAGAAAAGAGGGTTGAAAAAAGCAAATGAGAGAAAAGAATAAAGGTGCTAATGTATTTGTTTGACTGTGCTCACAATAAACCATATTTCACATTGAAGCCTAGTAGTCATGCAGACGCATAACGCCTTCCCAGAGTGATCAAGATCAGTAGATGTAATATGACTGTTGCCATTTTGATAATTTGAGGCCTGTTGCTTCTCTCATTGATTCCAACAAGAACAATCAATCCCTCTTCATTGCCCATTCTCACAATATATATTTTTTCTTTGAAACTGTCAGTTCCTAAAGTCATATAAATCTGAGAAAATCTCAGTTTTCATTGGTTTTTTTTGTTTCTAGCTTAATTTGTTGGAGAAAAAAAAGGCATGAAATGTAAACCCTAAAGATTCTAACATCCCAAGGCAAGTAAAATGAATTCTAGACCCCTTGATATTTAAGAAAATTCACCTTTTTGCGGTGGCCTGACAGCTGATTTTTCAGTGCTTGGATTTGGCAATAATAGATATCTTAAACCACACTCTAAAAGCATATAAACATTTCCAACATCTGCCTTACTAAAGGCAAAGCTGATGCTTTATCAACAATCTTTTTAGTTATGCTAACACAGGGAAGTATGTTGGAGAACTATTTTGAAGCATAAAAGGTATATAATTGTTCTCATGGCGCTAAATTTCCCAAGCTTTTTTGAGTTCTCCCTCTTCAAAAAAAATCACCTTTGGATTGGAAGGAAGTAGGAGAATGTCTTGGTATCTGAAAAGAGACTTTTAAAATGTAAACACCTTGTCAACCATAATGATAGCCAGAGGCGACCAAAGCAGGGTGCGGAGCCCAGGGCAAATCAGCCTGTGTGGACCCCCACCCCTGGACATGAGGAAGCTGGCAGCAGATTCGGTGGCAGAGGGGGGTGCCGAGCAGCCAGACATGAAGCCAGCAGCAGCACGAAGTTGCTGCAGCTGCTCTGCCCAGCTCTGCGGGGCCCCCCAAAGCTTGGGGCCCAGGGAAGTCGCTCCAATTCACCCCCACTTAGGGATGGCCCTGATGACAACATTACTAAATTGTAACATATCTATACTATAATACAGTATATCAGAGCACTGTCCCTCTTCTAAATTTTAGAATGTCTGCATTTTGTTTCTGTCTACCTTTCTCTTTCTCCCTTCACTGCAAAGCCTACCAGTCATTTTTCAACCATGTAATTGGATCCCATTCCCCATGGCACCCACCTCGATAAGAGAACCATTCCATCCAGTGCTTGAAGTCTCTTAGGTTGCAGTCACATTCCCAAGGATTATCCCCAACTTGGAGCTGCTGAAGACTGACTAATGGTTCAAAGGTCACTCTGTCCAGGCTTTGTAGGCGGTTAGACCTGAGGGAGAGTGAGTGGAGAGCGGGGAGGTCGTCAAAGATGCCTGAAGGTATCTGAGCAAGGCCGTTGATGGATAGGTCCAGCAGACGTAGTAGGGCTGTGCGCTGCAGAAGATCCTTGTCCAGGGTCCTGATGCTGTTGTTTCTCAGCTGAAGTTCTGTGAGGTTCCCTAGGTCATTGAAGATGTTCTGAGGAAGCTGGTCCAAGAAGTTGTTGGAAAGATCCAGCCTCTGTAGGGCAGAGAGGTTGGAAAAGACAGGTCCTGGCAGTGTGCTTAGTTTGTTGTTGAGGAAGAGGAAGGTCCTGGTGTTTGTAGGAATGTCTGAGGGGATGGATGAGAGGCCCAGGCCACTACAGTCCACCTCCAGACTGCTGTTGTTACACTTGCAAGAGGAAGGGCAAGCAAAAAAGGACTCAGCAGCACACAAAGAGAACCAACAGCCAAGTACTGGTGGATGAGGGATAGGGGGCGGGGGCAGGGAGAGAAAGAGAGAGATTATGTTAGAACAATGCTTATCCCTCTTCAATCCTTTACCCATTTTTGAATGCAGTTAAGGCTACAGCATGATCATCATCACAGTGGAACTCTTCACAGCAGTGCCTTGCAGTAAAATGAGCTTCTCTCAGGTGTAGCCTTGTACTGCTGGCTAGATCACTGGCAGCATGAGCTTCCTCTTAGTATTTCTCCGGTTGATGTTTTTATGAGCTAGCAGGATGGGTAAGTAAACATCCTCATGGTCTCAGTAGGCAGAAAGGTCAGTGACTCCTACTGCCTGATGCCAGAATGCTCTATGTGATTAGAACAGAGTAAAGTGGAGCATGAAGGGAAACATGGGCTAAAGAGGGACTCTTTCAAAATAGAAAGTTTTTTTTTTTTTACCTCTCGCTGGCATATTTTAAAAGGAGACAGGCTAGAATTGCACCTTGAAGACTAAGTAAATCAGAGATGTCTGCATTAGCTTTCATGAGCCTGAGCAAACTTCATCAGATGTTGTGATTTAAAAAATAAAAGATTATATTTTTCAAAGCCACACATTTTTCAGAAATAGGCATCTCAATGAAACCCTTTTCTTTTAAAATATCTTTTCTCAGATCAGAGCCCATTCTCTGCTCAGACCACGGCCCACAGAATATAATGCCTTGCAACTAAACCCTGCTTCTGAGCCCAGCCCCACCTACTGTGGGGAAACTGGGCTATATCTCCTTAGCCAGTGAGGAAAGGAACCTACTTTATAAGATTCAGGGGGGGTTGGGTAAGCATATAACATCTGAACATGAGAAAACATTCACATTTTGTAGGTGGTCACAGTCTCACTAAGGGGCTAAACTCAACCTCTAAATTAGGTGAGTTCAGCTTGGGTCTATACTTTGCAGCTTTGGCCAAGCCCGGTGGGGGGAAAGGCCTTTGTGAGTATGTCTACACAAGATACTTAATGCTCATTGGACTAATTCTACTATGCATTAGCACAGCTGGCAAAAACCATGCTAATGCATTAATGTGCAGTAGATTTAGTCCAATGAGCATTAAGCATCACACAAAAGCACAAATCTGTACTAATGCGCAGTACTGCCAATTACAGTCCATTAAGTTAGTACCTCTTATTACAGGTATTAAACTTAATGTGCCATAATTATGGTGCATTAATGAGCATGTAGACACATCCTGTGTGAGTTAAATGATATTAGAGAATGATTCAGTAAGGTAGTTTCTAGCCCACTGGAATAGCTGCCCCTGGCTTTGCTGTCTCAGTGCTATCCAGGCAGTCCCCATCCTGTACCATCCTAAGTGCAGGACTTTGCATTTGTCCTTATTGAACCTCACGAGATTTCTTTTGGTCTAGTCCTCCAATTTGTCAATGGCTGATTCAGAGAGGGCTCTACAAATTGGAGGATTGGACCAAAAGAAATATGAGGTTCAATAAGGACAAGTGCAAAGTCCTGCACTTAGAACAGTCCCATGAACTGATACAGGCTAGGGACTGACTGGCTAAGCAGCAGCTGTGTAGAAAAGGACCTGGGAGTTACAGTGGACAATAAGCTGAATATGAGCTAACAGTGTGCCCTTGTTGTGAAGAAGGCTAATGGCATACTGGGCTGCATTAGTAGGGACATTGCCAGCAGATCACGGAAAGTGATTATTCCCTTTATTTGGCACTGGTGAGGCCACATCTGCAGTACACTATATCCAGCTTTGCCCCCTCCCCACTACATAAAGGATATGGACAAATTGGAGAGAGTCCAGCAGAGGGCAGTGAAAATGGTGAGGGGGCTGGGGCACATGACATGAGGAGAGGCTGAGGGAACTAGGCTTATTTAGAATAGAGAAGAAAAGATGAAGGGGAGATTTAATAGCAGCCTTTAATAGCAACCCCACCTGAAGTGGGGTTCCAAACAGAACAAGGAGCAATGGTCTCAAGCAAGGGAAGTTTAGGTCAGATATCAAGAAAAACTCTCATGAGGAGGGAAGAAAATCACTGGAACAGGCTACCCAGATAGGTTGTGGAATCTCCATCCTTGAAGGTTTTGAAAACCTAACTAGATCAAACCTTGGGTGGGATGATATAGTTTTTGCTGCTCCTGCTTTGAGCAGAGGGTCAGACTAGATGACCTCCTGAGGTCCCTTCTGACTCTAATTTTCTATGATTCTGTGAAGCCCACAGCCAAAAACTCACAAAAACCTTTGCTCGCCTGAGCAGCTGGCAAACCTTGCAGTATGCTGACTGTGATGCACAGCCTACAAACTCCCTGGGGCATGGAAGGGCTCAGAAGAAAAAGTGCAAGGTCATGAGAAGCTGAACCCACCTTCTCATAAGTAAAGTTTACACATGGCCTAGACAGGGGAGGGGAGAGAAGAGGGTATTGAATATTGAATATAGACAGTTATTTCCCAATAGCATCTGCTTTCTGCAGAGCTGGTCCTATTAGCCAAAAAAAGAGCCATCACTGCAGGATTTGGCAAAGATCTTGTAGCTGTGTAACACTTCTAAAATTCAAGCCAGATAGGGAATGTGTGGCATTCAACATGGGCACCTCGGTTCTGTGACAACACAGCACTACAGCACTCGCATGAGAATAAGCTCATCCCAAGAGAGATGAGTTGTAGTCATACTTAAGCAGTCATACTAACCAACACTAAAGTAGATTTATTCCTACTTCTTCCTAGGTTTGTTCATGTCCAGTCCTTTCTTCTTTTCACTTTCCTTGTAGAAGAACATGTTGCTCAGTGTCTTTAGAGTCACTGTGCTACAATATAAAAGACTATGGAACTCAAGGAATGTGCAGGTTATTCCACCATTCTCTCTCTTGGATTGGAATAGGATTCTCCTATCCTGTCTGCTTGGTATAGGGACCAACACCCAAAGAGTTTTATACTAACCCCAAGGGACTTCTGGAAAGTGCCTGGGGAATATCTAGGAAAGGCAGTTGATAGAGGCAAGGATTTTGGAGGGGTAGGAACTGGAATAGCTACAAACTACACACTCTTGTGCAGGCACTCTTACCCTCATGTAATCTCAGAGTTTAATCTGTTTGTGGTCCATTTTTATTGATTTGGTTCCAATCAACAGTGCTTCCTTTTTACACAAATCCTGTGGCCTTAATCAGGTCTGTTTGGTAAACAGACTACCATTAACTCCAGTGTGAGTTTGCTGGACTTTGGACTGAGTGATGACTGAAAAAAGAACTTCAGGATTTGACTCATAGGAAGATTTACTCTCTAAGGGACCAGATTATGAGATAAGTCTGAAGAGAAGTCCTTGCTTTTCTTGTCTTTATCTTATCTCATTCCTTCAGAAATTCTTGTCTCAGTCTAGTGGGATCAAGTCTGCTTAGTCCCAGGAAATCCTTATCAGGCCTGTGTTGTACCAGCTGTCCCCAATGTTAATTACAGCTCATCATTGCCAAATAGAAGGCAGATCTTTATCCTAAGCACCCATTGCCTTCTTGACATATCAAGGTTGGGTCAGGAGCACTGAGGCTGCCATAAAAGCAGATCATAGCTTATACACTGGTAGATTGGCAGTGCTGTTTGGCTGGATAGTATTGAATTCCACTCAGAACGCATCACTCTCTTGCTGGAAGATGGGGCTTGAAAGAACAAGAAAAAGACAGGAAGGGAGAAAGCCATGAGTCACTCGAGTGACCCTGCCTTTTCCTGGATGCCTGACAGAAGTATAGCATTAATAATAGATTGACAGCTGTGATGATGAGATAACATTTAGCCTCTTTTTACAGAGGGAAAGGTGAGAACACACCAGGTAATGCTATACAGGTGAGGCTGTGTTCTTGTCTCTGCACATACCTGCCCTCCAATGGCCCCTGACTGATCTGCTCTGGGATTCCACCATTTGAGCTGGCCCTGGCAGGCAGGAGCATAATAATGAGCAGCTGCCTGTGGTTGAACTACTTGATTTACTCTAGGCCTCTGCACTAATGCGGGGCTTGCCAGAAGAGAGGCATCGTATTGACCACCCACAGAACTCTTGGAAACAAGGAGTCTGTGCCACTGTATTCAGAGTAAGGAAGAGGTCTGCTTTCATTCCCCTGTCCTTGAAGGATAGCCACAGGCGACTGGTAGGGAGGGCACATGCCTCCCCTGAGATTGGCCCCCAAAAGTGGGGCAGTTTTTTTGCCATGTGGGTCAGCAGCATGTTGGGGGGGGAGGGAGGGAGGGCACTAAACTGCGGTACAGAAGTATAGGAGTGGATATGGGGCTTTTGGCCTGCCCACAAATTGTGCCCCCCCCAGACTCAGGAGGCCCCAGTCATCCCTGAGGATGACTCTGTGCTGAATGTGGGCCGAGGCCTGGAAACTCATTACATCAATGAGTGCCCAACACCACAGCCAATCAAAGCAGGGAAGTCGTAGACAAAACCTTACATTTTCTTCCCAACAGGGAGGTGCAGTGCTGCACTCCCAGGGTCTGCGCGCAGTGCACACTTGCATTGGGAGTAAGGTAATGTTACTTTGTGGGGTGTTCAGTGACCCTGCTAGGTGGTGGAAAGCTGATCCAGGAATATCAGATTAGGTCAGGGCTCAATAGCCTGCCCCATAAATAATTTACACAGCAATCTAGTGAGCGAGGATGAATTACAAAGACAAGTCTCCAACAGAGAAGGGAATAATTCCTTCAACTCTTGTGCATTGGAAGCTCCAGGTCCAAATTTTAGGCAAGGGCTGCCTGCATGCTCATTAGCGTGTGCACATTCTTCAAAGTGCCCTCCATCCCTCGGCTGTGATTCCCAGAGTGTTGATTGCCATCCCTGAAGTGTCAGCCAGCTTGCTTTGGAGCACCCTAGTGGCATGTTTGCCACAGTCTGGGATGCTGGTGCAGCTGCCCCAGCATGAACCCTTCAGAAGGAAGAAGGATGAATTGAACTTGTATTTTATCAGTTGTGGCTGGGAGGCAAAAATCAGGATGTGGGTATATAGATTTTGCTTTGATTTTTTTTTTCCATGTATAGCCATGGTCGAATCACGACTCCCTTTTAACACGGCCACAGCTCCTTTCCTCCCAAATAGCCAGCTCCCCCCAAAATAGCCAGCATCCCTGCCAATCAACACAGATCAAGCCTGCACCATAAGGAGAAAGCTGCTGTTTACAAGCTTTGGAGTTGATAGTGTCCTGTGTTGCCTTTTGTCAGTAGTTGTGCCCTGGTTTCTTTCTCCCTGTTCCCCACCTTTCAGGACTGGTGAAACTGGAATTCAAACACCCATTAAGCTGCTGTACCACTTTAAACTCTTCTATAGACCATAGACAGTCAGCCTGACCAGTCACTCAGTGCCTGAGGATCTGGGAACTTGCTTAGATGTCTTAGCAAGTAGGGTGGAGAGCTAGCTGCTCTCCACCCTACCCCTACACCCAGCACCCTGATTTCTTCCCAATCCCCTAAGAAGCAGAAATACTGTACGCAGCACCCCATCACCCAAATGAGCAGCACTTACAACAGGCCTCTTGCCATGGCATGGAAAACCTGTTTCTCCACCAGTGGCCAGCACTCATAAACAGCATTATGGTCAGTGTTCTCTAGCGTGTCTTCACATCCACCAGGCAGCCTGGCACAGGTCTTCACAGGTCAGAAGAACAGTCTCAGCCTGGCAGACCCTAAAAGGAAGAGGAGAGCAGAAGCAGGTAGTCAGTCCTCAAGGCAATGGAGGAGACGGGAATGGACTCCAGGTTTGCCTTCCGAGTTAATGTTTTGCCTTTGGCTTGGAAGGGGGAGGGAATGGGGGGTGGGGAATCAGTTCCTTTTGGGAGGAGGGTAGAGTGTGACTGAGACCCAGAAGGATGCAAAGTGAAACAAAGGATCAAGGTTAGTTCAGAATGGAACAATGGTAAAATTGGGCTCTGTTCACTTGTGTGATGAGTTAACAGGTCTCTGCTTAGATTTTGCTCAGTTTAAGTTGTCTGATGTGAATGCATCAACCTTATTTTTGTCCTATGCTAGAGGTTAATATGAATTGCTGGGCTGACCCCCCTAGAGCAATAACCTTCTGCTCATTCCATCTCACCCACCTCAGCCTGACACATCCCATATATCCATTCTCTGCACTGAAGCCCCTAAGTCAGATTCACGGTGGTCTGTCCCCTGGTAGCTGCTACATTCCCTTCGCTCTCACAAATGCTCCCTTTCCCTTTAGAGGTAAAATGGATGTAATGTCTACAGCAGGGACGTAATAACACAGCTCATCAGCTTGAGGTTTTCAGACTGCAGCAGCTGCAGGAGCTGAAGAGTGAGTGAACGAATAGGAGGAAAAGGGAGGGAGGGTGTGATTAAGGGGGAGAATTACCTCTCAATTAGAAGGAGGAAGAAATGCTCCTCCTAATTAAAAACCCAAAGACCATAAACTCTCCCCTGACAATAAGTGACTATGACAACAGGTCCTCTCCACCCTGCCTTCTCTCTGGATAAAGAGGGGTGAAGAAGGGTAGGGGGAAGTACAGAAGACCCTTCTGTTTCTCTGCGTACCCTTTCAGGGGGAGGCCAGGGGATATTTTCCAGCAGCCACAGCAAGGGCTGGGGCTGGGGCTTGGAATGGAAGAATTCCCACCGATGCACAGGAACATGCTGCACTCTGTGCCCCTCCACCGGGCTCTGACAGTTTCCATAGCATTTTTTTTTTAGATATGCACATTGGACCCATTGGGACGCTCTCTCCCAGCACATGTTTATCAATCCCATTTGCCCACCCCACCTCCCCCATGGCTAATTTATTTTTGACGAGTGAGTAAAACACCCAGAGATATTTTAATTATTGCTGTCTGGGGAAGAAAAATGAACAGATTGAGTGGCTGGATTGGTACGTTTTGCAAGGCTGCTATAGGTAATCATATCAAAATGCTAATTCAAAAAGATACATTAACAGCAAGAGCAGCACCAAAAAGACTCTCCACTCCCCCCGCCCCTAAAATTGTGCTGGAATGTCTTTTCTGCCTTCCCAAGCTGAAAGGAGAGCCTGTACAAATAGCTGCCCCTATCCAATGTTTGCTTGCCTGGGTTCAGAGAGGGGCTTTCACCCCATCAGGCTCTGTCCTCAATAAATCCATCTGTCTGTCCTTAACACTAAGAGCAATGGAAAGCCAAGAGCACTTACCTGGAGGGGCTCTGCCTGCAGGTGCTTCCACCCGACTCCCTGGGCACTGTCCAATTACAGTCTCTTCTCTCTCCCTCCTTGACTTTCACTCCCAGCCAACAGGCTTTCTCTGTGTCCTATTTAACTTCACACACCACAGGAACAAACGGCAGAGTTAAGCTGACAGCCACAGAGACTTATCCGGCTGCTGGATATAGAGTTGATCGGTTTCAAATCCTGTTGTTGAATGATCCTGTCCTTCCCTTAGTCATTAGAGACTGTCTGTTACCCTCTGCCTGTCTTTTCCTCCCTGCACTCCATTTAACTTTGCCTGTATTATAGATAGCTCTGTTCCTTGTGCTGCTGCCTTTGGGCTGTTGTTTGGTAACACCCCATCTGTATTGCCTGGCTCTGCTCCAAGCAAGGGTGCTAAGCTTTAAAAAAATTCTGCTTGCCTTGTGACCCTTCTCTCCAGTCCCTTACATATTGATATCACCCCACAGGATCCTCTGTGCAGTCCTTCCTCCTCATCACCCCAATAACTAACCCATAGTGAGGGTTCAAGGTAACTTTACAGTACCTGAGCAATGTAAGAGTTTCTAATCCTAGTCCCCTTAGATCCTGCAGAGAAAGTCCTCTTCAGGTACTAAATTATAGTACCTCACAGGCTCCCCTTCCCATTCTACAGTGACAAGGCTCAGGCATACGGTGTGGGGTGGGCGGAAAAGATATGTATAAATAAGCTTTTTCTCTGCCTTTCAAACGTATTGCAATGCATAGTGGCATAGTGATTAACACCTGTTCAGGCTTTAATTCTCTCTCTGTACTACAGCAGGCACAAGAAGGGATGGGTATTATGAACACATGGTTGTATAAAAGCATATAAAACATGTGTGTGTATTCATGTGCCCCTATCTGAACAGAAGATGTAAGCATAGGTATGACCACTCCTGAGTTACATCAGTTTGTGCACATTTTGACATTAGACATAAGCATGTATATGAGCATGGACACACACATACATATACACACTCAGTAAATATGATCTGTACATTTGTACGTACATACATGCAAGTACACAAATATAGATATATATCTATCTCACGTGTCGTGTATGCACATGCAGACATATGTCCATGCTTGTACAGGGCTAGGGAGAGCTTCATATTATCACCTTTTACACACTAGACCACAGGACAGTGCTTACAGTTCCAGCTCAGCATACTGAGCTATTTCATGCCTGGCTTCAAGTTATGACTCTTAGAAAGGCTGAGAACTGAAGTACTCCTCCACTGTTTAGGGGATTCCATGTCTCTAGAGTTGTGAGGTAATCCTAAAGCACCTGACTGTTTCCTTGAGCTGCTCTGGTGGCTGCTGTCAGGTGTGCCTAGGTATAGAAGTAACAGCAGGAGATACCGTTTCCCTTTTGCAACCCTGTGAGGGTGTGAATCTCTGCAGGCCCCTGCCTGCTACCTCCACATGTTTTAATAACACTCCACAATCCTAGCCAACACTACCTCCCCACTTTCAGTACTAGTGTTCACTGCTGTCAGTGTGGATTTAATAAATGAACAACAGGCTTGCCCCAAGTGCCATCCACCTGCAACTCCCACTGACTGGCCTCTTAGAGTTGGTGGTGTCCAGCATACCTGAAACACCATTCAATAACAGAACCATAGAGACTATTGCCACCCTTTCATACAAAGGGATATGGAAGCACGGGGAGACCTTGTGACATGCTCATGATAGAAATTGGCCTATAATCAGGCAGAGAGTCCAGGAATCTTTGACTGTAATCATTCACCAGAGTTTATCACTTAACCATTAGATTGCAGGTCCATGATCAGGCAACCTGTCTTGTTGGGATGGGCAGGGTGTATGGGGGATGTGTATTAAGGAAGCAGAGGTTACAGAGGCTACAAGAAATGCCAGAAGTAGTTTAACAAACAAGTACACACACATACACCATGCCCCACCTTTCACAGCTGACTGTAAAGTCCTTCTCTACTGTTAAACTGCTTTAGCCTTTATCAGGAAACCAGATGGGTATGGGAGGGGTGGCGGATGCTTTAAGGAGATTATCTTTTTTTTTCTTCCACCAGGAGACTTTTGCTTCTGAGATTCCTATTTTATTATAGCCTGATACCCATGTGGGGGAGGGGAAGATGATATCCAATGTCCCATGATTAAAGCATGTAGTTGTCTTTTTGTATCACCTCTGTCACCCATAAGAGAGCAAGTTTGGCCTCACAGGGGCAGGCAGATGCAGAAAACATGTGGTCTCATTAAAGCAATTAGAAAGCACATTAAACAATTGGCAGATGAATCCTAGCAGGAACTACTGGCCTGCTTGCCACTTCCAGGTTGGGGTAAGTGACATGGGCGTATGTGCCTGCCCCAAGAAACCTGACCATGTGCTGCAAAAATTGACCATGTTCAGATTTATATTTGCTCCCAATGCAGCCACACCCTTTCAGTTTATGATGGATTGGTTTATTTGTACTAAAATAGCATGCTGAGGGGCCGGCCAAGATCAGAGGCTCCCTGATACCTGTATGTTCACATATCCCCAGGGAACTTACAGTTACAATCTAAACTGGAACTTGCTTTCTGCAACCTTTCATGTTACTCACACGCTTGCTTGTAGAAATTGTGTACCCTTGGAAAAGCATGTTTTAAATTCACACCAGAAACCAGCAGATCAGAGAAACAATATGGGAACAGAAACAGCACCATGCGACTTAGGCTGATCAGTCACAACTAAGCATTACAGCTCCAATAACCAGCTGTAAACAGAAGTAATGTCACATTACACTGAATAAGCTCAAGGAAATGATAATGGTGGAATCTGCCAAGTCGCTTGCTGCCAATAATGAATTATGTTGCTTCCCTCAGTTCCCAAGTATACGGTGAGGAGAGAAAGACTGGTCCTTCCTCCCGTTGAATTCATAGCACTCAGGCTCAGAACTGAAGTATGTCCTATGATGTGCAAACATGATTATTGACTGAGGAAAGCACTGCTCTGGGCAACGGGAATTAACAATACTTGGTATTTGTATGGTACTTAACAGTCAAGGCTGTCCAAATGTTAAATTAAAATTTAGACCTACAGCATCCCCGTGAGAGAGATCAATACCGTCTCTACTTCATACCTGGGTAAAGTGAGGCACAGAGACATGTAGGCTTACGTTTTCAGTGTGGCCACTAAGTTTGGGTGTCTCAATTGTAGTTGCTCAGGTTATGACAGTTTTTTCACTAATCTGGCATGAGCACCCAGCCTGGGAGTTCCCAGAAGTGCTCAGTGCCTTCATCTCCCACTGAAATAATTCTGCTCAGCACCTCTGCAGTATTGGGCCTATCAAAGTTTTGCAGTAAAAACCTGAGGTACCTGAGTAGAGACCCCCTTTGGAAGTATGGGGTAAGTGACTTGCTTAAGGTTTCACAATGAGTCCATGGCAGAGCCAGGAATAAAACCCAGAGCTCTGGACTCCCAGGCTATTTCTTTATGCAAGATGCTGTTATTTTTATCCTTGGCTTCCAAAACCAGGTGCCGGACAATTGGAAGGTAGCTAATGTGGTCCCCATCTTCAAGAAAGGGAAAAGGGAGGACCCGGGCAACTATAGGCCCGTCAGTCTTACCTCAATCCTGGGGAAACTCTTTGAGAAGATCATCAAGGAGCACATTTGTGATGGGCCGGCATCAGAAATGATGCTCAGGGGCAATCAGCATGGATTTATTAGGGGGAGATCATGTCAGACCAACCTGATTGCCTTTTATGATCAGGTCACAAAGGCCACGGACGCAGGTGTTGCGGTGGATGTAGTCTTTCTGGACTTCAGCAAGGCCTTTGACACCGTCTCTCACCCCATCCTAATTAATAAACTAGGCGACTGTGGCATAGATGCCTACACAGTCAGATGGATTGCAGATTGGCTGAAGGGTCGCACTCAGAGGGTGGTGGTGGATGGATCATACTCGACTTGGGGGGAGGTGGGTAGTGGAGTCCCCCAGGGCTCGGTCCTGGGGCCTGCGCTGTTCAATTTCTTCATCAGCGATCTTGATGTTGGGGTGGAAAGCAACCTGTTTAAATTCGCTGATGACATCAAAATTTGGGGGGAGGTGAGCACGCTAGCAGGGAGAGAGAGATTGCAGAAGGATCTGGATAGGTTACAGGGGTGGGCAAACAGGAACAGGATGTGTTTCAATACGGACAAGTGCAGGGTGCTGCACTTGGGTAGTAGGAACCAGCAGCACACTTATACGATGGGGAACTCCCTACTTGAGAGCACGGAGGCGGAAAGGGATCTTGGTGTCATTATTGACTCCAAGATGAACGTGGGCCGACAATGCGAGGTCATGGTTGGCAGGGCTAACCGGACCTTGTCGTGCATCCACAGGTGCATCTCGAGTAGAGCCAGGGAGGTGATCCTCCCCCTCTATGCAACGCTGGTCAGGCCGCAGCTGGAGTATTGTGTCCAGTTCTGTGCGCCCCATTTCAGGAGGGATGTGGACAACATGGAGAGGGTCCAGAGGAGGGCCACCCACATGATCCGGGGACAACAGGGCAGACCCTACAGTGAGAGACTGCGGGACCTGAACCTATTCAGCCTCCACAAGAGAAGGCTGAGGGGGGACCTGGTGACTGTCTATAAACTCACTAGGGGGAACCAGAAGGGTTTGGGGGAGACGCTGTTTCCCCTAGCCCCCGCTGGCATAACAAGGAGTAATGGGCACAAGTTGATGGAGAGGAGGTACAGATTGGACATCCGAAAAAACTACTTCACAGTTAGGGCGGCTAGGAGCTGGAACCAACTTCCAAGGGAGGTGGTGCTGGCCCCTACCCTGGGGATCTTTAAGAAGAGGCTGGATACCTACCTGGCTGGACTCATTTGAGTCCCGTTTTTTGTTTAGGGTTCTTTTGTTGTTCTCCCGCCCTGGCGGGGGGGCGGGCTAGAAGATCTATTAGGTCCCTTCCGACCCTAAAACTATGAAACTATGAAAACCACCAGCGGTGAAATCAGAGAGGCTGAGGATGGTAGAGGTCTCAAGACTCAAAGAACCTAAAGAAAATGTATAGAGCAAGTGGAGTGGAGATGGATA